TACCCTAAGAGTCCATGTGCCCAAATGTTGATGAGTATCTACTTTGGCCTTGAATCCCTATATACGTACTTTGAGCCCCAAAGTATATACTGTGTGTGGGTGTGTGTATATGGGCCCTTAGTTAGGGCCATGCAAGCCTCCGGGGCATCTTCAGGCTCGCCATCTACCCGGGTTATTGTTTAGGAACTTCCTGTTACCGTAATAGGGATCTATACTGCGGTAGTAAGTAATAGGGTTTCTTTTTTTATGGTAACTTAAAATTCCTGTTTATCGTCACTTAAACTCAACCCCTTAGCAAGAACCCTGTCTACGGCACCAAGTCACGAAGCTTTCTCACAGGCACTTGCAGCTGCATTGAAGCCTTAGCTGCTCAGTTCCTTTCAGGACGCAATGTACTCACAAAGGGTTTTCGGTTCAGGTACCATAAAGGAGTTCATCGTATTATTGACGGGTTTAGGGCCTCTACTACTTTTGAAAGTCATTTTGGTTCGTAATTAGCCTTGATGAGGATTCTATCGAAGTTTCCGGTCTGTCACACGCAACAAGCTCATAAAGCATGATGAGATCAGGCCCCTATAGTTTACGTCTCCTTAACAAAAGCGTGTAAAGCTTGCCGAGAACTGCTTACGAAGAAACTGATTCGGTTTGCGCCGACCTTCTTCTGCAACATCTCCTGGGCCCCCGCTATTCTCATAAGGTTTAGGGTTTAGGGTTTAAGGTCTAGTACGAAACCCAAACCACAAAAACAAAAAACGTTTCTCCAAACCTTAAACCGCTAAACCAGGCCGTCAAAAAGCATTCCCTAAACCCTATAAACTCCCTAGTCCCAGTACCCTCTAGAGGATCCCTTGGACCAGTCCTAAAGACATGCCTTCAAGGAGCCCTTATATCAAAGTAGTATCTCTTAAAATGATCCTTTAAGTTATCCCTAAACCCTAAACCTTAAAGTATCCTGAAACCCTATAAACCCTAAATCCTACAGTATCCCTAAGCCCTAAAGTATCCCTAAACCCTAAACCCTAAAGTATCCTTAAACCCTATAAACCCTGAATCCTACAGTATCCCTAAAGTATCCCTAAACCCTAAACCCTAAACCCTAAACCAAAGGCCGACCTAGGACCGAGTCTCGGAAAGAAGTCGGAGACCAGACCGCCAAAGACCCGACGCCTCGCAGCAGCTGATCACGGAGCCTGGGTTTCTCCGTAAAGAAAAGGCTTAGGGTTTAGGGTTTATAAGGGTTTTAGGGTTTAGGGTTTAGGGTTTTGGGTTTAGGGTTTTATGGTTTAAGGTTTGGGGGTTAGGGTTTAAGGTTTGGAGTTTCGGGTTTTGGGGTTTACGGCTTTAGGGCGTAAGGGTTTTGTGGTGGATCGTCTTACCATAAGGGTCTAAGTACTGCCTATAATCGGCCATTGGGTCCATTCTCGGTGGCAAAAACCATGAATAAGGACGACTTGGACCCTTAGGGTTAAGCTTTTATTTTTTTGCAGTTGTTTCATGGTGTCTGTGTCCAATTGTTGTTCAACAGAGGTGGTTTTGACATAAGCGCTTGATTTGGTTTAACACTGCTTTCTTACGGTTTGTTTGAGGCTCTATACAAGATTCATGGTTCACGAAACGATACGTTACAGCTACGGGTAGCTGCTCCTCCTACCATCCAACCTCAAAACATCCGGAGCTGCAGGGGAACAAAAAGAGGTTGTAAGGATATTCCTGGGTGACCTAGGGACAACCCCATACTGGATAAACCTCGTTGAAGAGAGCGCCATAAGACCCTCTTATGAAACTCTCTTCTAGCCTACAACAGCCTTATCAAAACCCTTATCAAAGCCGTTCAAAACCCATAAAGCCCTTATATTACGACATAAAGCCCGTATAAATTCTGTAGCAACCCAAAAGGGTACCAGGGCGACGCAGGAGCTGTAGCTGATGACGTCTGCTCTGACCCGTGCCGCCTGCATCTGCGACATCAGCTCAAAGGCCAGTTGCCACTGGCCCCCTGTCGGGTGTAGGGCTTTAGGCTTTGGGTCCTAGGGCTTGGGGTTTGGGGTATAGGTTTCCGGTCGGACGTGGGTCATTGAGTAGCGTCAGCCATCAGGACTTCTGCATAAGGTCTTGGCCTCACTAAGCTACCAGCTACGCGTCGCTAGCTGCTAGCGTTTCAGTGGAACTTGTCAGGAGAATCCGAGTCTGTATCATGTAGGGGCCTTGATAATTAGAATGTGGTTTTGGGGGCTCCTTATCATAATTGTAGTATAATGGGCCCAAAACCCTGTTCAAATTATTAAGGCCTCTATATTACAAGGGGTCCTCAATCCAACCTGTCTTTTTCCCACACCCCCGGCCTTTGTCACAGGCACTGATACAGGAGTTAAAGCTGATCACGTTCTTTGAAACTCGCGCCGCAGCCATGTCTGAAAAGAACCTGGGAACTGGTTTAAGCCTACCTGGAACATCATTTAAATGCACCACTCCACTAAGTTGTTGTTCCTACTGAAAAATCTACAAGGCCCTGAAAAGACAACAAGAAAACGCACACACACACACAGTAAACACTCGAAAAACTAAACCCCACCCCCAAAGAGCCATGCGCTGACCCGAAACCATAAGCCCCAAACTCTAACCCCCTGAAAAAATGAAACCATGAACTCTAAAGCTTTATAAAACCCGAAACCTTCAACGCTGCAACCTATCCGCTGAACAGTCTACTAAAAACCCCTACCGAAACCCCACCAAAACTACGAGAACCCTACCTAAGCTGGGCTTTGAAGTAACCAGGGAGAAAACAGTATAGACTTGTGTTTTTCATGATGGCTCCTTTAAGGAACAGATCCCCCAACAAAAAGTATTAAAGCATGGCATTCCCTAAACCCTAAACCCTAAGCCCTTAGGTGATCCAGGGGCTGCAGAGCCATCGACCATGGCCCTCCCTTCTCAACGGCACTCAAAGCCTTGGGATCTATCAGGCTGCTTTCTATTTAGGGTTTAGAGGGTTTAGGGTTTAGGTGTAGGGTTTAGGGTTTAGGGTTTAGGGGTTTAGGGTTTAGGTTTCTTTGTTGGATTCTGTAACCCTTACGCTCAGGGGACTCATATTCTATGGCTTTTGAGCCCCAAGACCCTATTATATAAGGGTTTTGGGCTATTTTGATGCTAAAGGTAAGGGTTTAGGGTTCAGGGTTCTGCAAGGGTTCCATAAGGGCTTTATGGCTTGAAGGGCTAAGGTCTTGCGAAAGGCTTCTTCTTGGGGATTCATACCTGTAGGAACAGGCTCCTCTCAGGGTTCACTTCAGGTTTCCTTTCAAGGTTCACGTCAAGTTCCCTAAACCCCTAAACCCTAAACCCTAAACCCCTAAACCCTACGGCCCTAAGGGTTTCGGGTTTCGGGGTTCCTGTAATGGTAGCTTATAGGGTTTATCGTATTTTTGAAAGGCCTTCGGTCCGCAAACCAGAGTTTGTGAGTTTTGGGCTTGGGGGCTTAGGGTTTTGGGCTTTAGGGCTTAGAGCTTTGGGGCTTAATGAGGGTTGAGAGGCGAGGGATGTGTGTCGGGTTCAGGGTTTAGGATTTCGGGTCTAAGAAGCTTGAAGGTTGCATGCCCTAGACCCTAAACCCTTACCCTCAAAGGACATATTTCAACGCTTTTGGGCCCAAAGACCCTACTATATGCGGCTTTCGGGGCTATTTTGATGCTAAGGGTAAACCCTAAACCCTAAACCCTAAACCTAGTGCAGAGCTGAGAGGCTGCATTGAAGGTGATAACGTCTGCCGGAACGCTTCCCTCGGACATGTCTCGAATCAGCTCCAACACCTCCCAAAGGGTCCAAGTACTAGTATAGTATACTTTTGGGGCCCAAATNNCCAAATACCTACTAAGTACCTACTAAGCACCTACGATAATGGTACTTGCACCCTTTGGGCCTGCTGCCAGTCTCCGCTGCCTGCGGCTTAGGGTCTTGGTTTAGGGTTCATAAGGTTGAGGGGTTTAGGGTTTAG